GATAGAGATCATTGATCGGCTGCCTCCTGCTGGCCCCCACTGGGGATTGAACCCATAACCCAGGCACCTGCCCTGACTGGGAATCAACCGTGACCTCCTGGTTCATGGGCGGACACTGAGCCACACCAGCTGGGAGAGAAACCCCTTACTGGTAATAGTTAAGTAGTTCAGGGCTGACCAGTCTGTAGAAACAAGCATTAGCCTTTACTAATTTACTACTCAAGCCCAAACCTTGCTTAGATTTCTTATGAGCACTGACTTTCTTTGTCCTGTTAGTTTCTCACAAATTTATTGTCTAAAAAATATTAATAGATGCCTGGTTTGATAATTTACTAAAGCCTTATTATCTGACCATCATATTGTGATTCTTCCATGTACACATGTAAATGGATTTTTTTCTGTTAATCCAGTGTTATGTCAATTTTACTCTTGTTACTAGTCCAGCCATAAGAACTAAAAGTAAAAGGGAATTCTCCCTCTCCCTGACAACAGGCAGCTGAATGTTCATGTCTGGTCATCCTTATGGAAGAGATCTGGACAGAAGATGTTCTTTTGGGAACCATTGGTATATAAATGGTAATTAATGCTGCCAGAATGAATATAGTAATCTAGGGAGACAGCATAAGGCAAACTTTTCTTGTAAAAGGTAAGTAAATACTTTAGGCTTTGTGGGCTATAGTTTCTGTGTCAGCTTTGCTGTTGTAGTGTGAAGGCAGCCATAGACAAAGGTAGACAAATGGTCATGGCTGTGTGCCAATAAAACTTTATGGATACTGGGATTCATTTGTTATGAATACTATGCTTTTGAATTTTTTTTCAAACACAAACAAAAACCACTAAGCTCTTGGGCCCCATCAGTACACAGTAGTGTGCCAACCTCTGGTAGAAGAAGAGGGCCTAGGTTCAAGGCTTGAGGAATGGCAACATTTAAGACCAGGTAGAGAAAAGAGCCAGAAGGAGCAATTAGAGTGATAGCACTGGGTGAGGGTCATGTCATGGTCTCATGCTACTATGATGTCTAGTTAAAAGGAAGACTAAAGAGTGATTATTGGATTGTTGAGTGGCATTGGCAAGAGCAATTTCTGTGCAATGAAGTGGACAAAACTTGATTAGTTTTTCCAAAAACTTGAAACAAGGGGAAATTTAAAAAATACGATATATGTAGATAATTGTTTTGAGAATTTTGAAGGGGTGTGACTGAAGAGGACACAGAGCAGAGGGCAGTTTTGTTTTTTTAAGGAATAAACTGCTTGATTTATAGGCCCTTTTATAGTTGGCTCCATACTATCTCATTCATTGGAAGGGATTCTCTCAACGTTACCCCTTTCTTCTGTATCTTCAATCTCATACTGGCTTCCAGCACATTCAGAATAAAATCTATTTTTCCCCCTTTGGTGCGTGTGGGGTGTGTATGTGTCACCCATGAAATGAGTTTGGCCCTGCATGGTCAGTGGAGAGGTGTCTTAGACAAACTGTGGGCCCTGGGGTGAAAGGGTGTCATGGCCTAAAGCCTGGTTTTGAGGATCTAACAGCTTCAATGCAGTGCTCCCATGTTGTGGATTTTCCTGTTCCGAGTCCCTTTGTGGGGACTACAGCACCCCTAAACAGGCCTTGAGGGGAGGCTTCCAGAAACGTCCCAGGCTAGATAAATGTTTTGGGTGTGGGCTGTGTGCGCCATGGTGGGTGTGACTGTCTAGGGCCCTGGGATTGGAGAGTTGGTGACATTCCTTGCCCATGACCCTGTAGAATAAAATCTAAATTTCTTACCAGGAACTGGAAGACCCAGGAATAGGGGCTGTGTAATTTCATGTCATCCTGGAGAGAGCCTCTCTTCTGCTTCCCTTAATACCCTCTCCTGGACACTACTCCATTTGCTTTGAGACCATCAGTGATATTATGGCTTTGGCCCTTTTTTTCATTAGTTACCTTGAAAAATTATCTCCTGCCTGATTGGTGTGGTTCAGTGGTTGAGCACTGACCTATGAACCAGGAGGTCATGGTTCCATTCCAGGTCAGGGCACATGCCCAGGTAGCAGGTTCGGTCCCCAGTGTGAGGCGTGCAGGTGGCAGCGGATCAATGATTCTTTCTCATCATTGATGTTTCTCTTTCTCTCCCTCTCCCTTCCTCTCTGAATTCAATAAAAATATATTTTAAAAAGTTATCTCCCCAAATAATAACTATCACCCACATTCTTTTTTAAAATATATTTTCTATTTCATATTAAATTTGTAATGAATGTAAATCTTGGGATTAGGACGCTAATGGCATTTAAGTTGCCAAAGAGGTGGTTTTCTTATTTCACTCCATTATTTTTTAGAAATATATTTTTATTGATTTCAGAGAGGAAGGGAGAGGGAGAGAGAGAGAGAAAGATCAATGACGAGAGAAAAAATCATTGACTGGTTGCCTCCTGCATGCCCCCTTCTGGGGGTTGAGCCTGCAACGTGGGCATGTGCCCTTGACCAGAATCAAACCGGGACCCTTCAGTCCACAGGCCCGTGCTCTATCCCGTGAGCCAAAGTGGCTGGGGCACTATTATCCACATTTGAATCCTGAGGCAGGTAAATATATATTTATACAGATTTCTCAGCGTCCAGTTCCTACAATCTTACTAGTATGTCGTGTGTCATTCATCAGGAAAAAATCCTCTTTGTCTTCAACCTCTCCTCTAAATTTTGCCTTCTGAATGTTTCCTCTGCTTTCTAACAGAAGCCTGATTACCTCAGAAGACTTTTTCTGGTCAACCTTTCTCAAGTGGAAGGTGACTACACTCTGGTTCTCTAGATGGGAGGGAGGTGTGCTCCAGGGTCTTTGCCAATTTTAGGCCATCCTTACTCTATCTTCTCTAAAAACCACAAATTTGAATTTTATGCTTTAAGACTTTAACATTCACAACCCCTCTTTACTGCAGTTATCCATAAATGCTGGTTCTTACCAACTTATGCCTGGAAGATTTTAAATCCTGACTCACTGATACTTTCTCTAGTACTACTCCTATCATTTTGTGGGTGCCTACACATGAGCAACACAGATGCCTGAGGCAGCATTACTAGTTGGGGCTAATAAGAGGCTGACCAAAAACCCCACAAACCCCAAAACCCACTTACAAGGAAAAACAGTGCAATGAAGGGATTTGAAAAACTTACATATTCCTGGGAAGTTAGAAGGCCATGCGCATATGCAGGGCTGAGTGTATGCCAAGCCAGATAAGACCTGAAAAGACCCTAATATCAGTGAGATATGGCTGACCTTGAAGCTCTGCACAAACAGGAATTAAAAGCTATGTACCATTGTGGCCCATGTATCTAAATGGTAAGAGCATTGGCCCAGGAACCTAAGGGTCATGAGTTCGATTCCTGGTCAAGGGCATGTACCTGGGTTGCAGATTCAACCCCTGCCCTTAGTCAAGACTGATGGCAGGAGGCAACCAATCTATGTGTCTCTCTTACACTGATGTTTCTCTCTCTCTCCCTCTCCCTCTCTTTCACGCTCTAAAAATCAATGGAAAAAAAATATCCTTGGGTGAGGATTAACAACAAAAAAAGCTATACATCATGCCTTGGCCTGTGTAGCTCAGTTGGTTGAGCATCATCCGTCCCATGCACTGAAAGGTTGTTGGTTTGATTACTGTTCAGGGCACATGCCCAGGCTGTAGATTCAGTTCCCAGTCGGGTGTGTACAGGAGGCAACTGATCAATGTGTCTCTCTCTCTTTTTCTCTCTTTCTCTCCCTTCCTCCCTCTCTCTCCCTTCCTCTCTCTAAAACTCAATAAAAAACATTCTTAAAAAAGGAAAAAACACTATATACCATAAGCAAGTGGGATTTATCCCAGATTTGCAAGGTTGGTTTCACATTTGAAAATAAATTAATATACTATATTGATGGAATAAAGGGGAAAACACAGAAAAAAATCGACAAAACTTAATACACTTTCATGATAAAAATACTCTATAAACTAGAAACAGAAGTGACTTCCTCCACCTGATAAAGGCCATCTACAAAACTCCACAGCTTATATTATCCTTAACGATCAGAAATAAAACAAGGATGTCCACCCTGGCCACTTCTATTCAAAAATGTATTGGGACCCAACCAGTGTGGCTCAGTGGTTGAGTATCAACATATGAACCAGGTCATCTGCAGGTGTGGATTTGGTCTCCCAGGTAGAGGACAGAATCAGCACTGCCCAGAGTTGCAGTAGTGTCCTTAGTCCCAGAAGGTTCAGACACACTCCCAGGCCCTTCACACATGCCACACAACAGGCTGATTTTTTTCCTCTTTCTTTATTGTTAGACACAATGTGTAACCACAAAACAAAAAACAACAGGGATCCTCTTAGACCTTAAAACAGCAAAGCAAGGAACGAAGAGGTTTAAAAGTATAAGACACTTTAGTGCCCAGACCAAGGATGGCAGGTCACAGCCGCCAGCAGCCAGTCCACGTAGGCAGAATGCTGACCAAGAGAAAGCTCTATGCCAACGAGCCTTCCCCTCTTGGAAATAAGGGCCACACAGGATAGTTAAAAGTTCCCTCTTCTCATCCTTGCTCCCTTCAGGACTACAATGGAGGAAGGAAAGTAGCGTCCCATGTCACTCTGATCTCCCCAGCTGCCCTGGCTCTGATGCCCCAATACTTGGCATTTACCAAAGCCTGTCTGAGCTCAGAACCAGGTGCCCACAGTTCACTGGGGAGAAGAGGGGTGGTGAAAAGGCTGGGTGTGACACCAAATATCTTTATTTGCAGTCATCACTGGGGCCGTTTCTTGCTGCTTATTTGTTTGCTGGCCTGTTCTTCCATCTGCATGGCCAAGCGTAAGGCCTTGATGTCATCTGGAAGGAAGGAGAGGTGGTACACTAAGGGTTAGAGGGTGTCTCAGAGGCCCCACTCCCTCAGGGCAGAGCTGCCATCACCTGCAAAGACCCCACCCTGCAGCTCCCCATCCAGCTGCACCCACCTTGCAGGGCTGAGAAGTGCTTGGCTTGCTGGGCCAGGGCAGACTCTGTCTTGTTCACAAAGGTCTCCAGGTCGTAGTCAGGCTGCTCGGTCATCTCGGAGAGCTCAAGCCAGCTTGGCACTTGCTGCAATGACACAGGGAGCACCTTGCCGGTTCAAACAATGACCAAACCAATTTAGCAAATCATTCCTAACTGCAATGCAGATGGCCATTCCTCCAGATGGCCCACACCCTGCCTCCTGACCCTCCTGCAGAAGTCCCCAGACTCAATTCTTCCTCTTCCATGTCCCAAACTTGTCCCTGTCCCTTATACCAAATGAATGTTATCATTTGTCTTGATGCTCAAGCCAGAAATCTGAACTTTACTTTCACCCTGCTTGTCCCCAAATCCTACCAAGTCCACCCTTTAATGGTTCTTGAATCTCATGGCCATTGCCACACTCAGTCTAGGCACCAACATCTCTTTCCAACAATCTCCTAATGGCTCTCAACTCCTAAGTGCCTCTACTCACTCCCCCCATGTTCGCAAACCAGGCTTCACACGGTGGTACAGTGATGTACCCAAAGCTCTGATATGACCTTGGCACCACTCTGTGAAACTCCCTTCAGAGGCATACACTGCCCTCCTAACGAAATCTGGGCCTCTGGTCTGAACCATAAGGCTCTTTAGCATCAAGTCCCTGCTGACCTTTCCACAGCTTAATTTCCTTTCATCATCAGCTCACACCTTTTGCTCTGACCAGAGCAAACTTCTCATTCTTCATGAAAGTACCATGTCCTTTTAAACATTTGTACCAGAGTACTCGAGGGAGGGAGGCCATGCCTAAGCAATGATCTTTCACGTTCCCTCTTCCGTTCCAAGGGCCTCAAGCTCTTCCTTCCTGCTCTGCACCGAGGGCCCTGTAACGGTGCACTTTCGGGCCTCTCCCCTCCACCTGCTCTTCCACAGTAGGCGTCATGGCAGTGCTAGTACCTGTCACTTACTAAACACTGACCACATGCTGGGCACTGCTGAGTGCTTTCTTTTTTAAAAATATATTTTTGATTTCAGAGAGGAAGAGAGAGATAGAGCTAGAAACATCAGTGATGAGAATCATTGATTGGCTGCCTCCTGCACGCCCCCTATTGGGGATCAAGGCTACAACCCAGCATGTGCCCTGACCAGGAATTGAACTGTGACTTCCTGGTTCATAGGTCAACACTCAACCACTGAGCCATGCCAGCCAGGCTGCTGAGCACTTTAAAAGCACATTAGCCTTAGCAAATTTGGCTCAGTGAATACAGCGCCGACCCGCAGACTAAAGGGTCCCTGGTTCGATTCCAGTCAAGAGCAGGTACCTCTGTTGCAGGCTCAATCCCCAGATCCCCAACCCTGGTTGGGGCACAGGTGGGAGGCAACCAATGGATATATCTCTCTCACATCGATGTTTCTTTCTCTCCCCCCACCCCCCCTAAAAGTCAATGAAAAATATCCTTGGGTGAGGATTAAAAATAAATAAATAAATAAATAAATGCACATCATTTAACCCTCAGACAAAACCATCCTGTCTTAGCCATCTTAAGGATGAAGAAACTGAGGCTAAATGACTTTCACAAGGAAATCACTTATAAATAAAATAATCAGGGCTGAACAAGTCTTGCTTCAGGGCCTACTATCCATACTTTATGTTTTTGGTCCTTGGTCACAGCACAGGAGCTGGCATACAGAAAGTACTCACCGAACATTCACTGAATAACAAGGTCCCTGCATATCAACCACCCTCCAAAACCCCCAATTAGGAGCATGGTGGAGAGAGACTAGCTCCGGCTAGAATGGAGGAAAGCTTGTGTGCCAGGCTAAGGAAGAGGGTGTGGTATTAGCTGACCTAGAAGAATGGATGAGTGAATAGGTAAAGAATTAAGGAATGCTAGGGTGGAGGCCTGCCTCTTGCCATGCCAACCTGAAGACCTGTGGAAGCAAAGCCCAGGTCACATTCAGGCAATGGTGCTGAGCACAGCGGCGGGCCTGTGCTGGGGTGGATATGCCAGCGCCAGCTGCCCACCTGGACAATCTCCTTGAGCTCTTCAATGGCCCTCTCCTCCAGCTCCCTGATCTGAGTCATGGCTTCATTAAAGCTGGACATCTGGGAAGACAGTTCCTCTTCTTCCTTGGAAAGCTAAAAGGAGACACAAGAGTATGGCCCAGTTCCCATCTCAGCAGGCCATGTTTCTGTCTTGCTAGGCCCCACCCTGCCCCTTACGTTGCTTGTGATCAGAGACTCCTGAGAGTTGGCTTCTGTCTCTTCGGTTTCCATTTGAATTGGCTGCTCCCCACTGGGCCCGCTGTGGGGGCTCAGCTCCTTGACCCTGAGGAAACAAGAAGGTTTCTGATCCCATAGCAACCTTGTTGGCACTCACAAGAGTGCTGTACCACTTAAGACCACCAGCCTTGAGGCTTTAAGGGGATGGAGCAGCAGCTTTGCCTCTGGCCTAGGAAAAGACCCTCATGCATGCTGACTCCCTACAAGGCCTGGAGGGGACTGGGACAGACCTTCCAGCGTCCTGTCAGAATTCCCGAACCTCAGGTTCACTGAATCATGGAAGAGTAAGCAGTAAGCACTGAGTCCCAGAGCCTCCTCCCTCTTCCATCACTGCCATTCCCTTCTCTTCTCCCACATCCTGCTCCCATCCCACAGGGCCATAGGTACTGGTACCTGTCTGCATATCTTAGTGTATTTAAAGTATATTCACAGGAGCTTATGCCTGGTGAGATCATGGCAATCTGCAAAAGAAGGCATGGATGGTTAAAGGTTGAGGATCATGGGGCATGGGGTATGGGGTATGGGAGAGAGGTCGAGGATCATGGGGAGAGGCTGCCAGGAGGAGTGTCTCCAAACTACTGGACCCTCATGGTACTGGGGGAGAGCTCATTAAGCACCTATTCACCAGGCAACTGGCTCCACTGCAAATTAAAGCTCCTTAAAAAGTTGGTTCCGTGCCTTTAAAGGCACATCTTATGACCCCCTCCTTCTTTATCTCTTCACTGACCCATTCCTCACACTGAGGTCACACCTGAAGGCTCTGTGGCTCCTACTGGAGCCCTCACTTCATCCAGGCTCAGGAGTGCCTCAGGGAGAAGGCGTTAGAGCTTAATCTGAAATCCCCATCTTCCCTGCAGACATGGGAGAGGATGTTCATGGAGGGGAGCAGACCCTAGCTAGAAGGGCTTGTGGGTAAAATAAGGAAGGGATAAAAAGCCATTCAAGGCCATAGCCCTTCCTGTATTCTAGGCTGGAAGCCAAGGAATACGAGGGAGGTCACAGAAGCCAGGATGCCTCTCTCCTGCTTCCCCAAAGGTCCTCCTTCTGAATTCTAGAGCCTCCTTTCCACCGGGTAAGGGAGGAATGACCTCCCCCAAACCCAGAGCTGCGGGGATATACGGAGTACCTCCTTTCCTCCCCTGGGTAGGCAAAGAGGAGTCTGGAACGGAAAGGCAGGGATGAAGCTCAGTTAAGTTAGAGTCTGGAAACCCAGACAGCCAAGGGCACGGGCCTCCTGCCCAGGATAGGCCTAGATGATGTCCTGCACCACCTCCACAGCGCCCCTACTCACCATACAGGTCCTTGAGTTCTCCCCGATGAAGGAGTCCCGTAGCACCTGTGTCAGCTTGCTCTCGCGGAAAGGGGTGTGAGCCTTGTTCTGTCCCAGGGCCCTGATGCACTCCTGTGGGGCACCAAGTGCAACTGAGGACCTTTCCTTAATCTCTGCTGCCCAGTTCCTGCCCCACCAGCAGTCCCACCTCTACCTAGCCCCTGCTACCTTCAGAGCCAGGAGACTTTTGTTGATTTCTGCGCCTTCCATGCGGGTCTGCCGGTCAGCACTGGAAGTGTCTGCACCTCGTTCGTTCCCTGCCAGATCCACCAAAGAGAACTTGCCATGCACTCTCCCTTTGGCTTTAAGGAGAATCTGGAAGCAGGCATGAGAGCGGGAAGAGTTGGAGTTGGCAAATGTCTGCCCAGAGGTCCTATGGTAAAGGAGGCAAAGAAAGGCTATGAGCTTCTGAAGTCACCAGCCACCCCCTTCCACAGCAGTGAATTCTCTGGTAAGAGAGGGACACAGGTCAGGACTGTAAGAAGTCCTATGTCTTCATCCCAGACTTCTGTTCTGCCTTCCCTGGGCAGAAGCTCTCCCTCCAGCAGAGGAGCTGGTAAGTTTCCTGGCAGCCACAGTATTGGGTTCTATGCTAGGGGCATGGCCAGACCGGGGGGCCCATAAGGACACGGAGAAAGATGAGCTATCTCTGTTGCAGGGCACACAGGGAAGGAGGGTTGTCATGAACCACTTGCCAAAACATGAGGGCCCTGCAGTGAGAGGGCAGCTCGTTCCCTGAGCCTCAAATGCACCAGCCTAGTGCCTGGAAGAGCACTTCCCCACAGGAGCTATGGCTCCAGCACTTTCAGCCTAGAACAGACCGAGCTCCCGTCTCCCATCACAAAGGGAGGGATCAGTGAAGAGAAACCCAGACAAGAAGGGAAGCCTGCCCTGGTTAGATTTAAGACACTTTGAGTTGCTCCTGATGAGCCTGTTAGAGACCTCTTACCGCAGGGGCCTTCACCGTCCTCCCCAAGCCAGGGAGAACGGGGCTCTGTGGAACCAGATGGGATCAGAGCTAGTCTGTCACCTGAACTGGGCATGAGAAAGTAGCCCCTTCCCCTCACCAGAATTCTGACCTGCAGGCACTGCCTATGTCGATCATCTTGATGACATCGTCAGCACAGTTAACCAGGTGCTCCTGCAGCCCCAGCACCTGCACCTGCTGCTTTCCATCCTCCAGCACACGCAGCTTGGCCTTCTTGTTCAGCAAATCGAACAGCTGTGTTGGGCAGGGGAACAAGGCTAAGGCCATCAGGCACTGGGCACCCCACCTGACGCCTCCCTCCTTCAGGGCCTATCCCAGCTTAGACAAGGGCAGGCAGCATGAAGGGAAGACAGAACCTGAGCTGGGCAGACTAGCAGAGGGTGTGGGTTCTGAACTGGGCTGCCTCAGCTTGATGTGATTCTAATACTTCACTAGCTGTGTGAACTGGGTCAGTACTTAACCACCTACACAATAGTGATGGTAACACGTCCTTGTAGGGTTTTTGATTAATAAGTGAATTAAAACAAGTGTTTAGAACATAATGTCATATTAATAATCAACATTAGTAGCCCTGCCTGGCCAGTAACTCAGTTGGTTAGTCTCATCTCTACATGGCAAGGTTGCAGGCTCAATCCCTGCCAGATCTACCAAAGAGACACATACAACAATCCCCCTGCCCTGGCTGGTGTGGCTCAGTTGGTGGGAGTGTTGTCCCATGCACCGCAGGGTTTCAGGTTCGATCACTGGTTGGGCACATACCCAGGTTGCAGGTTCGCTCTCTGGTAGGGGTGTGTGTGGGAGGCAACTGATCGATGTTTCTCACATCGATATTTCTCTCTCTCTCTCCCTCCTTCCTCTTTCTCTAAAGTCATTGGGGACATATCCGTGGGAGAATTAAAATAAAAAAGAATTGCCCAGCTGGTGTGGCTTAGTATTTGAGCATTGACCCATGAACCAGGAGATAACAGTTCGATTCCAGGTCAGGGCACATGCCTGGGTTGCAGATCGATCCCCAGTAGAGGGCGTGCAGGAGGCAGCCAATCAATGATTCTCTCTCATCACTGATATCTCTATGTCTCTCTCCCTTTCCCTTCCTCTATCTGAAATAAAAACATATTTTAAAAAAAGAATCAACCAAATGAATGCATAAATAAGTGGAACAACAAATTGATGTTTCTCTCTCTCCCTCTAAAATCAACAAATAATTTTTAAGTATTTAAAAAAAATCAACATAGCCATTATTATCTAGATCAGCTGTGGGCAAACTACAGCCCGCCGGATCCGGCCCGTTTGAAATGAATAAAACTAAAAAAAAAAAGACCGTACCCTTTTATGTAATGATGTTTACTTTGAATTTATATTAGTTCAAACAAACACTCCATCCATGCTTTTGTTCCGGCCCTCCGGTCCAGTTTAAGAACCCATTGTGGCCCTCGAGTCAAAAAGTTTGCCCACCCCTGGTCTAGATCCTGCTCTAAGGAAAGCAACTCTGCAAAAATGAAGAGAGTTGTATGTGTGAGTATTTATTCATGTATACACACAGAGATGGGGGTTGGGAGGAAGAGAGGATGAATATGAGAACAAATATGGGTGATCAAAGGAAAAAGAGTTATGAAGGAGGTGGGTAGAGGGTGCACAGGGCACACTCAAGGCAGACCTCCCATCTGAGAGGAACCCTGCGGAGTATTCCTGCCATACTTGTTGACTTTTTTTTTTTTAAAGCCCGATTACAGCTTTTTTTAAATTTTTTTTTTTTTTTAAATTTCAGAGAGGAAGGGAGGAGAGATAGAAACATCAATGATGAAATGATGAGAGAGAATCATTGATCGGCTGCCTGCTGCACGCCCCACACTGGGGATCGAGCCTGTAACCCAGGCATGTGCCCTTGACCGGAATCGAACCCGGGACCCCTCAGTCCGCAGGCCAACACTCTGACCCATTGAGCCAAACCAGCTAGGGCACTTGTTGATTCTTGAGTACCATCCCACCATCAGACGAAACCCCCCATATGTCAGGGCAGAGCTTCACAGTCCATAGATTGTTTGGCTTCTACCATTTCTAGCCAACCGCAGGTTTTTGAGAGTTCAGGGCCCCCAACAGTATAAACAGGGTCTCCTTGTCAGCTACCTTCCCATTATAGATCTCAAAGAACGTCACATAGACTTCCAGGCCCAGGTTCCGGTAGCGGGGCTGATTCTTCATGAGGAAGACATCCTGGGCTATGGGAAAGAGCATGGATTAAGTAAGCAACCTGCTTTCTGTGCCCAACCCCACGGCGGCAGAAGACACTACTCACAGGCCATCGCATAGATTCCTTTGGATGCATTCTGGGCTTTCCCAGAGAGGCCTCCGCCCATAGTCTGCAAAAGGAAGGGACAGAAGACTTGGTAAAGGGCCCTTGGCCGAGGCTAGAGCACTACCGGCTCCATCACCCCAGTGGGCCACACCAAAGTTGGGAGGCTGGACCTGTTAAGGCACCTCTCTGCACCTGGCACAACAAGTGTTATCTGATGATGGAGCACCTACACTGAGTGGATTTTCTACACGAAACTCACTGTCTTCCTTTTTAGGGACCCAGTGCAGCTGGGCACACTCACACCCTGCCATGCTTGAATACTCACATGTGTCTTACCACTTCCCGTCTGGCCATATGCAAAACAAGTCGCTTTTCCGCCTTGGAAAATTGTGTGTACCAGTGGCCTTGCTGTGAACCTAGGAGAAAGGATAGGGAAGAGTGTATTATCTCTGACCAAAGTGTGTACCCAGGAACATGGTCCTGCTGCCCTTCCACTGCAGAACCTCTGGGCCCTCCATTCCTCCTTCCAAGCACTAGTACTCCTCTCCTGCAATGGGGTCCCACCTGACTCAGCCCACTTACAAATCTGAAATTCTCCTAGCCGGCTGGAGGGAGGTGGGGGCTGGACTGATTTGCAACAAGCAAGTGGATGGCCCATCCTCTAACTGAGCCACCAGCCGCTCCCGACTCTGCAGTCATAGACAAAAGCCTGAACTTAACAGCTGACATCCAGCATAAGATACACTACAAAGATCAAAGGAAACCCTCTAAAGTAGGAGCCCAAAATGTTGTAGTCTTTGTGGCCATGTAGATATGTCACATTAAAAAACAACAATCTTTAAAAACATGAAAAACATTCTTGGTTTTAGAGCCATATAAAAAGGGACTGTGAACCCAATTTGGCCCAAGTTTGTCAACTTCTAGTTTGGAGCAGTGTTGTCCAATAGAACTTCTGTGCTGATGGAAATGTTCTATATCTGTGCTGTCCAGTAGTAGCCACTTCCACATGGGACTGGTGAAGCACCTGAAATGTGGCTTATGTGACTGAATAACTTAATTTTTAATTTCATTTAACTTTTAATGAACAGCTATATGAGGCTGTGGGTGCTTTATTAGACAGAGCAGTCCTAGAGTTTGCTGAGTCTGCAAAGCCCCGTCGGTAACAGGGTGGCTGCATAAGATACTGGAAGAATCCCTGAAGCCTGCCCAGCCTCAGAGAATGCAATGGGTAACACCTCACTTCTGATCCACTGCTAATGCTGCAAAATGGCATATGGCAGCCCAGGAACCAGAACCAGAACCAGAATTAGAACCAGAGCCAGAGCCAGCTCTATGTGAGCTGATCCAAAGAAAATATGGCCTCACCTCCTTTTTTTGAGAACCCCACCATCCCACTTCCAAATCTGCCAACCTGCCTGACCCACATCCTCTGCTCTTTCCCATTACAATGGAGTGTCCCTGTTCCATCACAGGCCACCCGTTCACCTTCTGCTTGTTCCGAGTCACCTTCCCTCAGACTTCTCTCCCGCAGTCCCCACTCCCTTTTCTTCTGGTGCATCATCTCCATTGACATGCAAATGAGCTCTGTATCTCTCATCTTTTTTTTTTCAGATTCTATGAATATTATTTTTTCCCTTTATTGATTAAGATATTACAAATGTGTCCTTATCCCCCCAATGTCCTCTCATCCCCCCAATTCTGCCCTCATAAAAATATCCTTGGTGCCCAGCAGGCGAGGCTCAGTGGTTGAGCACCGACCTATAAACCAGGAGGTCACAGTTCAATTCCCAGTCAGGGCACATGCCTGGGTTGCGGGCTCGCTCGATCCCAGTGTGGGGAGTACTGGAGGCAGCCGATCAATGATTCTCTCTCATCATTGATGTTTCTATCTCTCTTTCCCTCTCCCTTCCTTTCTGAAATCAATAAAAGTACATTAAAAAATAAAATAAAAAAGAAACACGAGAGGAGGCCAGGAAGGGCTTTAGAGTCCAGCATGTCTGTGAGCAGTGTTAGCACAGTGCCTTGCATGGAAAAGATCAAATAGGGTGAGGGGAGGTGGGGGGGTGGTGAGAAGAGGCGAGGGACTAACCTATAGATGACTTCATTCGAAGCTGTTTCATCAAATGCAAAGTCAAAGCAGAACGCCTGGTTCTCCAGATACTTTGTTAAGTCCACTTTTAACTTGGGCTCGTGTACGAAGAGGAGACACTTGCTAGGAACAGAAATCACATCAATTTCTTTCTTGGCCAGTTCTGCAGAAGGAGAGTATTTTCAGGGAATGCTCCCTGGACACAGGCATCCTCTATTACTCCAAAGCCCCTTTCTGACCGGAGTTTACCTTGTTTATTCAGCGGGCGCTTCCTAACACAAACGCATATCCTGTGCTCTTCTATCTTCAAGAGGATGAGAGAAGACAACCAACCAACAGAAGGTTAGGGCAGTATTAAAGAAAGCTTCTCCAGAGCCCCTCCCCTCCAACCCCAGGTCTGGCCCAGTCAGGAGCCAAGATATAACACTAGGACCCTGCCTCCTCATAGTTACTCAAGAGCACAGAAGGTAAGGTGGGGGTAGAGGGAAGTTTATAAAAATCAGACTCTCATCTAGGTCTCACTAACTCCACTCACCAAAGGATCTTAAAAATACCTGCAACGGCGAGGGAAGATTGCTCGATGCTCTCCTTAAAGTTTTGTCTCTTAATTGTAAACCTACTCAGGAAGGAGAGGTAGAAGCCCTTTGGGTTTACTTACAGGATCAGTCATAGTAAGGGGATGACAATCCAACGTAGCCCGAAATTCTTTAATCATCCGGGCAAATTCCCAGTTTGGAAAGCTGTTGTCATACTCCTGTTTGGGACGAGAGCAAAAAGAAACCGACTGCTAAGATGTAAGTGCTCCTCGACTTCAGTACTAAGGAAAAGCACCATCTCTCTTTGTGCAATTGGTCCATCAGAGTTGACAAAACCCCCACATGATCTCACTTCCTCCCACCCTGACTCTAGGCTGAGAACCCAGGAACAAAGCCCTGGGAAAAGACTGGCAGGGGGGCCTAGGCATGCACTAAAGCACTCTAGGAACTGGGGTGAGGGCCACTTAGGAGATCGAAGACTGGGATTCCCCAGAGCAACTAAGGGGAAATGCTCAAAACTAGAACGGCATTGCAGCATCTCCGCCACATACACACAACTAGGAGGTTGGGGGAAACAGGCAACTGTGCTCTGTGACAGGCGTGCCCACTGAACAGTCAGCATGAAACAGTCCCCAGGTGAAGGCCCTCAGAAGAATATCTGACTTATTTGTTCTCTGAATCCTGATGAGGCACCAGTTAAACTTCCTGGATATCAGAATTGGAGCCTCAGTAATGCTGGGGCCCAACTGAAAGATGGAAAAAAAACAAAAAAAATTAAAAAAGAAAGAAAAAAAACCCGTGCCCTAGCTTCCCAAGAAAGATACCTGAGCTCGTTTTGTTCTCATTTCAGAGATCTGGGCCCTCTTCTCTTCTCGTTTGTTCTTCATTTTTTCCATTTCCTTCACAATACATGATTTCCTTCGAACTAGGGGAGGAAAAGCTCATTCTTTTACTTGTCTAGGCCAGCGAGCCTGTTCTTCTCCAGCTGCTGTACTGAGTCCTGGGCTTTCCTAGGACTAGGCCTTCTCAAAACCTTTGGACTTAAATCACCATATGCAAGGAGAGGAAGCAGTAGATGTGACTCTTGGGATAGTCAAACTCACAAAGTAAAGATCTACCCATGTGAGTACTCCAGGTCTAACCCAAACTCTCCCCATACCTCTGTGGCATTTTCTCAACCACCAGAGAGGTGAGACCATCACTATTTAGTCTTAATGGTTACTCTAGGCCAGTGGTTCTCAACCTTCTGGCCCTTTAAATACAGTTCCTCATGTTGTGACCCAACCATAAAATTATTTTCGTTGCTACTTCCTAACTGTAATTTTGCTACTGTTATGAATCGTAATGTAAATATCTGATATACAGGATGGTCTTAGGCGACCCCTGTGAAAGGGTCGTTTGACCGCCAAAGGGGTCGCGACCCACAGGTTGAGAACCGCTGCTCTAGGCTGTTCTTCAGGTGTCAGCCAAGACACTATAGTTTGTGACAACACTTCAATTACATTAGAAGGTTTCTGCCAGCTTAAGGGGACAGGGTCACCCTTGTGCAAAATTGATTCCATGGCCACAGGGAAACATGCCCCCAAGTGACAAGTGCAGTTTGAACTCAGGTGCCACGGCAGACCAGGTGTGAAACAGAATGAAACTGCCCTGCACTAGGAGTAGGGCAGCAGACAGCTCAGCATGTCTACCTGAGTTCACTGGGTTTGCAGAAGAGCTGCCTCGCATGGAATGGACTTGCTCTTCTACCTCCTCGCTGACCATCGTAAACGGTATTTCAGCCACTGCAGGGCAGGAGTTCCTAGGGGGGCCAGCTGTAAGGAAACAAGAGTCATTGGCGAAGCCGGCAGGCTACTGCAGCTGTACTCAGCTGAGCCCTCATGGCTCATGGACCAGGAGGATGGCTACTGACTGCCAGCTCAGCAAGGGCTCAGGCTCCTACAGTGTGAGCAGAACTTGGGTTTTTGCCTTCATCTCAGCCCACACCTTGAACTGGACCAGTATCTCTGCAGGGGCTGGCTCCTGGGTCAAGAAATCTTGAGTACCCAGGCCAGTTTTGCTCATGGTTAGAGCATTGGCCTATGGACCAAAGGGATCCAGGTTCGATTCCTGGTCAAAAGCACAGGCCTTGGTTACAGGCTTCACCCCAGGCCCTGGTCAGGGTGCATGCAGGAGGCAACCAATCGATATGTCTCTCACATACAAGTTTCTGTCTCTCTCCCTTCCACTCTCTCTAAAAAAATCAATGGAAAAACAGCCTCACAAAAAACACACACACAAAAAAGATCAATGGCAAAAAATATCCTCGGGAGAGGATTAAAAATAAAAAAAGGGTGAGTACTCAGTATGGGCTTCACCATGAAGAGAAAAGCCTTTTAAGGCCTGAATTCCTTAGGCTTGACCCAAGCATGGGTTCTTAGGCCAGGCCTTTCTACTCACTGGGAGAAAAGCCAGGCTTTTCTCACTTTCAAAAGCCTTGGAACACATGACATAACCAGTTTGGTTCAGTGGATAGAGCGTCAGCCTGCGGACTCAGGAGTCCCGGATTCGATACCGGTCAGGGGCATGTACCTTGGTTGCCGGCACATCCCCAGCGGGGAGTGTGCAGGAGGCAGCTGATCAATGTTTCTCTCTCATCGATGTTTCTAACTCTCTATCCTTTTCCCTTCCTCTCTGTAAAAAATCAATAAAATATATTTTTTAAAAAAAGCCTTGGAACACAAAAAAGCAAAACAAAAAATCCTTGGAACTCAGGTGGTTAACAGGAACAAAGACTGAAAAGCCAGAAATAATGGAAATATGAGCAAAACTAACCACACTGATTCAACCCTGAGAGGTACAACCCATGACAACTCATTACTTCCCATACTTGGTCATGATCCTTTACCTTCATTTTATAAGAGCTAAATTTGATACATGTAAGATGTAATGGTTGTGTATCTTACAAAATCTTCATCTACTTTATGTATCTAATAAAAGTTGACAATTGCCTGGCCGGTGTGGCTCAGTGGTTGAGCGTTGACCTATGAACCAGGAGGCCTCGGTTCAATTCCCGGTTAGGGCACATGCCTGGGTTGCGGGCTTGATCCCCAGTGTGGGGCGTGCAGGAGGCAGCCAATCAATGATTCTCTCTCATCATTGATGTTTCTATCTCTCTCTCCCTTTCTCTCTGAAATCAATAAAAATATGTTTTTTAAAGACAGTTTTAAAATTCCATATGTATAAAATTCAAAAAGAGAAAAAGCTAATTTATGCTATTAGAATTCAGGATTAGCCCTGGCAGTGTGGCTCAGTTGGCTGGGCATCGTCCCATGCTCCAAAAGGTTGCTGATTTGATTTCAGGTCAGGGCACATGCCCAGGTTTCGGGCTCGATCCCTGGTAAGGGGCTTGCAGGAGATAACTGGTCGATGTTTCACTCTTACATCAATGTTTCTCCCTCGCTCTCTAAAAATCAATTTAAAAAATCTTAAAAAAATGAAGTCGGGCCCTAGCCAGATTGGCCTGTGGAGAGAGCATCAGCCTGCGTACTAAAGGGTCCTGGGTTCAATTCCAATCAAGGGCACATGCCTGCGTTTGGGGCTAGATCCCCAGTGGGGGGCATGCAGGAGGCAGCAGATGCAAGATTCTCTCATCATTGATGTTTCTATCTCTCTCTCCCTCTTTCTTCCTCTCTGAAATCAATAAAAATACATTAAAAAATACCTTAATCAATAAAGAAAGAAAAAAAATTATTTCTCTTTTACACAGCTCTGTGGCCTTCTGGGGACACAGTACTGATCTGTATTATAAAAAATATTCTCATTAGTTCCTGTATGCCCTGTAACAAAACCTTGATGCAAATAATTTCTAATTAAGAAAAAGATAATGGATCAAATTTTCATTAAACCAGAGTAAGTAAGTAAATAAATAAATAAATAAATAAAAAGAAGTCAGGAGTATAGGTTTCACTGGGGGCTTAGGAGCTGGAAGGATACCTGAGGGGGACTTTTGGGTGCTGGTAATGCTGTTTGATCTGGGTGTTAGTTATATGCGTGTGTTCAAGAACTGTATATACTCAATGATATGTTCACTTTTCTGTATATAGTGTATATGATGTTTGAAGTAAGGGGGAGAAAAAGATATTTTCCAGATAAGGGAGCTGTGGGGCAGGGACAGAACAATACTAAGTGCTAAGCCAGGGTAGTGTAGGAATCTTAGGATATTCCACAACAGGTTCAGGCAATGTGTGAGGAGCTGCTCCAGGGCGTCAAACAGGGAGAACAGATTCATTACTCACTGGGAACTAAGAACTGCTTCCGGGAATTGGCACGCACGGGCAGGTCCACCTCCATACCATCCTCCTTAGGGGTGATGTGAACCTCTGAGAGGGTGGACATGCGAGTGGAGCGGCTTCGGAGACCTAAAGAACCGGGGACAATCAGTGTAACATGATATGGAGGGCTATGCAGGGTGAGATGGGTCTTGACCACCAGGAAAGGAAAAATTAGACAGGCTAAGTACTAGTGACCCCAAAACTCATTTGTTCACATTCTGCACATTCTGCAAACCTGAGAGCTCCTAAGGGCAAGGATATCTCCCCCAAGAGCATCTGTCTTGAGCAAATGGAGGGATCTACAGCCAATATGAAGTCATTTCTGGAGAGATAGACCTAATCCTGCACCTACCATTCTACAATGTTCTTCCCATACCTTAAAACAGAATATAAATAACAGTATTCCCACCTGATGGAAGGGAACTTTAAAGTTCAGAGAAATTAAGCAACTTGTCTACTGTCCTTTAATTGTAAGAGTCAGAGCCAGGATGTGAACCCAGGACTGTCAGATTCCAAAGTCTGGGCTTTTCCCACAGCGTCAGGAAGCTTTACAGAGCCAAGCGTGGGCCACACATCAGAAACCCAGGGAATCAGCTACCTTGATTTTCTGGAAGAATGCTTAACTGAGAGAAACAAATGAGTTATATTTGAATTCTTGTCCATTTCTACCCATCTATATAGTTTTCCTATATAAGAGAGAAACAATCCTATCTATCCTATCCTATATAATAAAAAGGTAATATGCAAATTACCCTCATGCCCTCACAAGATGGCTGCCTACGACCAGGCCAGCAGGGGGGTTAGTGAGGGATGACCAAATGACTGAACAGCAGGCTGCGTGGGGCAATTAGGCCAGCGGGGGCGCAGTTGGAGGCAACCATACCGGCAGGGGTGGGGCAGTGAGGGGCGACTAGGCTGGTGGGGGGCCAGTTGGGGTGATTAGGCTGATAGGGGGGCAGTGAGAGGCGACTAGGCCGGCAGGGGGGACAGTTGAGGACGATTAGGCTGGCAAGGGGAGCAGTTGGGGGCAACAAGGCCGGCAGGGGGGGCAGTTAGGGGGCGACTAGGCTAGCAGAGGGGGGCATTTGGGGGCGACCAGGCCAGCAGAGGAGGGCAGTTGGGGGCGACCAGGCCGGCAGGGGGGGCAGTAAGGGGTGACCAGGCCGGCAGGGAGGGGGCAGTTGGGGGCAACCAGGCCGGCAGGGGGGGCAGTTAGAGGCGATCAGACTAG